ACTTTTTCTTTTTTTTTTGATTGATTGATTGATTGATTGGTGGGGAAGGGGTCGCCCTTCCCCCCCCCACAAGCACACACACACACACACACGAAAAAATAAAAATTTTCCTTTTTTTTATTATCTTTCTTTTGATTAAAATACATGTTTTTTTGTTTTCTATTTTTTAAAAATAAGAAAACACTTTAAAATCCGAAAAACAAATTACCGCGTTGTAGGGCCCTTTAAAACCCTACAACCCCATATATATATATATATATTTTTTTTGGTCTATTATTATTTTTTTTTTAAATGTTTGAAATTCTCGGCCCCACCCAACCGCAGGGCCGACCTCAGCGGTTCGGATCCCGACCGCAGGCCGAGATGGACCCCGCGGTCATGACCGCGGGGGATACATAGTTCTCAAGACTTTCCTCATGAGATAGGCTAAAATTCAGAAAAAATCTGAAAAAGGTTCAAAAAAAGCTTGGAAAATATTAGAGCGAGGGGGTCAAAACTGAAACGCCTACTATCCATCCCCCCCCCCTCAACAGACGGAACGTCGGTCCAGGCTTTCAGTCCTCGTACCAGAACTCACTTGGTCTCATACCCCCTTCTGCTAGGGTAATAGGGGACCACAACCTTCCCCAATACTAACCAACCTATTTCTGACGTACAGGAAGTGCCTTCCTCCTTCGACATTTCCCTTAGCGGCAAGCCCCTGACACAAGTTACAGGGTTAATACACCGGCGTTGACTACGTCGAACGGTCTGGTTATGCCTTCCACCCTCAGCATAAATCCACAGGCCTCAAGCTCCCCCTATGTCACAGAGCAAAAGCTCCAGCACCGGCCTGTGTCGTCCCAGCATCGTCCTTCTAACCTACTTACCTTAACAAACAACCTTCCTCTGTTGAGAGCCCCCTTATTACCTTCCATCCTCCAGTTCTAGCTCCCCCGGGGCCCCCTTCCCTTCGTTTTTGAGATACCAGGGCCATTACCTGGCTTCGGCTAAGAACAAACAACTCAGAGCCCCCCCCAACAATCCTCTCTACCTCACTCCGGCAAGACTTACTGCAATAGAGCCACCATCTCCGCTGTTGTTGTGCCTATTCCATCCTATGAGCTAGCCCCCTCGCTAATAGGATGCCTGATATCCCACCATTTACTTCGCCCACTCACCTCTCTCAAGAACATATTGAAAATCAAGAAATCAGAAAATTGAGAATTCAAGCACTGGCTGCAAACATCCAACAAAAACCTTCTCAACCTTACTCCGGCAAGACTTACTGCAGTAGAGTCACCATCTCTACCGCTGCTGTACCCAATTTCCGCCCTATTGGCTAGCCCCTTCGCCGCAGAGCGCATTATCTCCAACCATCACCGCAAACACAATCCACAGCAACCAGCACCAAAATTATGACGATTTTTCCAGTTGAAACCTCAAAAATCAAAATGAATTAAAAAAACACAGATTCACACGCAGGAATCATAACCTAAAAAGGCAGTCAACACCTATTATTCCCACAGGGAGAGAAAGCACGGGAGAGAACTACTGCTTTCCCCATGGGAATTCCTGCGCCTATTTACGTCTCAGTTGGATGTAAAAAAGCTAACAAGAAACCGAGCGGCTTACTCCTCCCCCCCCAAAAAACAAGCTTCTGTCCTGTCGCTGCCTCCGCTGGAAGTTGCCCCCTCACCTCCCAACCCCAGTTCAGAACGGCCCCCTAATTCACTCATGCTCCCTCGGCAGCATGCGCTACCCCCTAGAGATGCCCCCGCAGAGCTGAAGATCCCTCTTCCCTCATGTCCCACCCCCTCCAAGTGAAACACCTCTCGACCTCTCATCTTGCTGAAAACAACACGGCCCCTTGTCCTCTCTCCCAACCGTGTGATCCGACCCAGATCAGTCTGGTCCAAAGGAGAACAAAACCCACAAGGTGTCTTCTGGATGTAATTGATCCCTAATCTGAAATTCATTTTCTCGGTTCTGAGCAAGATCCCTAATCTGAAATTCGTATTTTCTGAGTACGATTCTTAATCTTAAATTCATATTTCTGAGAAAGATTCCTAATCTGAAATTCGTAAATCAAAGTTTTGCTCTGATCCCAATAATTGATTACTCAATTTTGAATTACAACGGGTTACAAATTGATTTTCTCAAAGTAGAATTGATGTCCTACGTTTATCCATCTTTGATCTAATTCTAAATCTGACGTAGTTTTCCATATTTGTGCGCATAAGTTTTGACTCTTATTTTTTGAATTCGATATTTGATGTCACTTGTTTGAAGGATTTCCAAAAACTGGTTACAATCGATTCTCAAGTTGTGATATTGTAAGATTTGGGCTCATAGGTGTTGATCGAATTATCTCCTTCAGGGTTGGAGCCCCTCCCTGCGAGGGTTATACAAGGTGGGAGGTGTGATCCTTGAGAAGGTGACAATCATAAAAAAAAATTCATTCAAAAACAACCTCTGAAAAAATTCCCAGTCGCGCCAGCATCAAAATGCTTCATCGTCAGATCATGTTTTACGACAGAAAAATAAGCACTCAGTAGGGATTTTATAGACTTGTAATCAGAAGGAAATTAGCACCTCAACCATCAGTCTTGTCACCTAGGAAAAACAGCGGACAATCTACATAATTCCTTTCCAACCCTAATTCTCACCCCCCGACATGTCATGCCCTCTCTCTCCCAACCTCCACCTCCTCCTTCATCGACTTCAAAAGCTTCTCAGCTGCTCGTGGCCTGCATCACATCTAACCAAAAGTTGAATGATGAAGATTGTCGGACTGTGGCCAACACTTACCACAACACAGCCACGTAGCGAGCCCAAACCGTTGAGCCTGTGGACGACCCCTCGCTGGCAATTCGAAGGGAGAAAGCACATCCATGGTGACAGAAACCTACTCGATCCGCCATCTCTCGCAGCCCGCCGTTAGAATCTTCACTAAGAACTGCCACTCCATGCCATCACTCGCCTCGCACTTTCACCCGCCGCTTCACCTGATCACTCCTACACCGTATTGACGAGTCGCGAGCCCCACGAGGCGCCCCCACCCACCCCTACCCCCTGCTTCATCATCCTCTGTCACACCCTGTCACCATCAGCCCCACCCTCTTCCCCCGCGCCTCGCCGCTCGTTGCTGCTCCTCATCGCAACTCGTCGCCACACCCTGCCATCCCGCGCCTCGTGCTTTCGCCAGCTACATCGCCTACGTCGCCTGGCTTCTCCGTAGCGCACCGGCAGGATCGTACTGGCGGGCGTAGCGCTCCCGGCCGCGCCGCGCCCCCTTCATGGGTCTACCAGCATGCTTTATGTTCTCGACAGTAAGCTTGGCAAAGGTCTTATGAAGTGGGGGATGGGCAGCCTTCTGGGTGGTAGTGTCTAAAGCCAACACTCTCCCACACACCACACACAACCCACTCACACGCGCACTCACACCCGTGTTGGTTGAATACCTTACCTTACTGATACTGACTGGGAGGATCCAACTGACTATCTCAGTTGGTTGGCACCAAGAGTGCCAGAGGCGGCCATGGGGATTGAACCCACAACCTCTTGAATGCCACTTGCGTGCCTAACCAATTGAGCTAGGCCGCTGGATGGTGCCCAGATTCTTTGATCGCATGAGGGGGGGGGGGGAAACAAAACTGAAAAGCGAATAGCAAGGTACTGAGGGCCGTACCATCCCACACTCGGCCAGGAAAAAGGGCGTTTCAAGCTCTAAACTACTAGCAGTGTATCTACCTATGTTCTACCAGAAGATTCATGCTCATTTTGCACATTTGGTCAGAAGTGGAGCAAGTCCCTCTATCTCCACAACTCTCGTGGCAAAGGTAAGGGTCTGATCCCACCACTACACTACAACCCTGTCACAATGTAGTTTTCAGATCCCACCAGTTTCCGACGTCGTCGCGGCCGCGAAAATATTTTGCCTTGCTTTCGTTTGGGAGTGTCGTGGCAGCACGTCCGCGAAGGGCATAAACGTGGTTACTACAACTTTTCTGTAGACGGTGAGGGCTTCACCGCAGCGAAAAAGAGGGAGCAATTTTTTTTTTTTCTTCTTTCTCTCGTTCGTCCGTTTGTAGCATCAGGAATGTCCGTGGACCACAGTGTTGTGTGGCATTTCGTTTGGCGGAGTCTGAACAGCCCATGAAGAACCGCCTCGGGTCCAAGAAAACCACCGAAGAAGTCCCCCTCATGGGATCCAGTTTCTCTTTTTTGTCTCGACACGGCCTCTAACATCCTCGTAGTCCTTTTTCACGTCTACAGTTGTAGTGTAGTGGTGGGATCAGACCCTTTTTTTTTCTTTTTTTTTAAAACGCCCCCACCAGTGTTAGTGGTGCTGATAAGAGCAGACACCACTGGCACCTGGGGAGAGGCTCCATCTATTGGTGGGATCCATATTTGCGGCGCACCGGCACTGTGCGCTGCGTGGTGCTCTGCGCAGTGCGCTGTGCGCGGACCCAGGGTGCGCGCGCCGCGCATCTGGGTGCGCAGTGCACGCTGCGCACGTCTGGTGTAATGCGCGCATGTGCACAATGTATATTTCCATGTTCTAGCGGTAGATTTATTTGATTTTGTTCTCTCTCTCTCTCTCTCTCTCTCTCTCTCTCTCTCTCTCCCCTCCCGACTACTTCCGCCGCTTCCCACCATCCCACCTTCGACCTTTCTCCCGCCTTGCGCCATCCACCATCGCTACTTCTCTCTCCCTCTTCCCCCCATCTTTCTCTTTCTCTCTCTCTCTCTCTCTCTCTCTCTCTCTCTCTCTCTCTCTCTCTCTCTCTCTCTCTCTCTCTCTCTC